AAATGGGAAAAATACAATTGTTTTTGCACAAAATCAATTTGAAAACACGATTAAGAGACATCGTGTGAATGAAAGGAGGACAACTCACATCGGGTTAAAAACCCAGGTTATTTGTGAGTGTGTATTCCTTTATATATGGGATCGGATTTCCTACATTTTTCAGCCGATAAAACAAAAATTCACTTTTTTGTTTTGGCAGGTAGTGTTTTTATTCTCTTGCACACTTTTTTTTCTTTTATTTTTAATATTCAGAATGCTTTAAAAAATTCCATTTAAAAAACAATTGTTTATAATAAAATTCTATTCAATCGAGAGACTCATAACGATTGAAAACAATGTTTTTGTTTGAGTTTGGGTTTGACCAATTGGTAAAAAAAAAAAAAAACTAATTAAGATATGCGTGTCCGTCAACCTTAAACAATAATCTAACGATCTCTACTGATTGTACGAATCCAAACATCGGATAATTCTTTATCTTTAGGGAAAGATAATGAAATCTAAACATACAGAAGTCCTCCTAACTAAAAATAATAACCGGAATCTACTTTAAATACACATGGTGTCCAATTTTTTTTACTGTATTCAATAAGTAAAAATCATAAATTGTAAATGATTATTATTACAGAAAGGCTACTAAATGAATAAGATTTGTTAGATCATAATTAATAAACCCAAATAAAGTTAATATTTTTTATATTAGAAACAATGAGTGGAAAATATATTCAAATCAGAATTCTAATTATGAATCATCACAAGCAAAATATGCAATTTTTTATTACTGTATTCAATAAGTAAAAATCATAAATTGTAAAACTAAAAGATTACAGAAAGGCTACCTACATTTTTCAACCGATTTCAACAAAACTTCACTTTTTTTTTTGGCATGTAGTGTTTCTTATTGTCTTGCACACTTTTTTTTTTTTTATTTTTACACTCAGAATGCTTTAAAAAATTCCATTTACAAGACAATTGTTTATAATAAAATTCTATTCAATCGGTTTGAGTTTGGGTTTGACCAATTCGTAAAAAAAAATGCGTGTCCGTCAACCTTAAACAATAATCTTTGCCAATTTTATTTTTCAGTCTTTATGATGGTCGATGCTTGATCTATCTCTTACTGTTATATCCCCGGGCAACGCCGGGCTCTACTGCTAGTATTTGTTAAAATCAGATTAACTTAAAAATATATTTTAAATATTTAAAAAATATTTTAAATCATATTCACTTGAAAATATTTTTTAAATATGCCAAAAAATATATTTTTTTAACTATTTAAAATATTGTTTGTTTAAAGAAAACTGAATTATAAATAATTACTGTACAAACAACTGGACGAAACAGCAAAGCGAGATCTCTTTGTGTCTGTCTTTAACTTAAAAAATAATTACAAACCTTGTCTGCTTGAAGAGAGTTAAAATAAAAATACTTACTGTATAAACATCTTGTAATTTTTAATCTTATTCAATTACTTTTTTAAAAATCTGATTAACTTAAAAAATATTTTTTACATATTTAAAATATTGTTTGTTTAAGAAATGCGGAAATATAAATAATTACTCTACAAACAACTGGACGAAACAGCAAATCGGGATCTCTTTGTGACTGTCTTTAAACTTAAAATGATTGTAATTAAAAAAATATCTGTTTGAAGAGAGTTAAAAAAAAAATACTAAGTGTATAAACAACTCGCATTTTTAAATCTTATACGCTTAAATCAGATTAATCATTATGTGCCGAACAGACGCATTATACAAGCACGAAGACAATTACTGACTTTTACTATTATATAGACAGATGTTAATACTAGTGTCATTACTTATCTATTGTTACTACTTTATCTTAATTAGGCTGAATATAATTGCTTACTGGAGCTGCATCGTGTAAAACAATGGCTACTTTATTTTATTTAATTTATTTGTGGTTATTTACATTTTCTTTGAATCCATTCTTCGCCACCGTACTCATCAGGACTGTCTATGTATTTATTATCTTTTATTAGAAGCGAGTGCCTGGCAATTGGCACTCAAGGCATAACATTTAGAAAACTTGAAACTGTATCCTATTTTAATAAAGGTATATGTAGATAAAGCCATGAGCTCAAAAATATTTTGTGCGACAAAATTTAGTGATTATATATGTGAATAAATTGTTTAGTGGACGAAATAAAGGGTTCGTTTGAAATTCCAATCACCTGAAGAGAGCCGGAGCGTTCAAAGATCGAAACGTTGTGAATATGGCAATGAAGATGAGGATAACAGTCCAAATAATGTAAATAATGCAAGTAATCATAATACCTAATCTCAGAGATATAGACAGATATATAGAGAGACATAGACATAAAGGCCGTGGCGTACAACGGCCGAAACGTTGTGAATATGGCAATGAAGATGAGGATAACAGTCCGAATAATGTAAATAAAGAAAGTAATCATAATACCTCATCTCAGAGATACAGAGGCCGAAACGTTGTGAATATGGCAATGAAAATGAGGATAACAGTCCGAATGATGTCCGAATAGTCGGAATAATGTAAATGATGTAAAATTTCTTTGTTACTAAAACATTTTCCGTTTCTTAATATTTTGTTCTACTGTTAGTAAGTATTTTCCGATTTTCCAATGTGACATCGGATTTTACTGCCATGTTTTCCGTAGTCTGCTATAACACTTCCTGATAGTCAGATATCAGTATTTGCTTGATTATGTCATCTCCAAATTTTAGATCTCATTTTGGATTGCCGCTTTTGCAAACTACCATATATTCTCTCTTTGGTATGAACATTGGTAAGATTCCTAGTTTTCTTGGCTTTTTCAGGACTACTTACTCTAGTCTACAGTCAATATAGTGTCTTATGTACATGATACAGTCAGTCTGTATAAAGGGGCAATAGTAATACTATACGTCCTAACCGGATTTATTATCGATATACATAATCTTAACAGAAGATAAGCTGATCGCACAGTGTTGGCGATAGTCACAGTAAACTGAAAGAACTCTTAAATAAAAAGATAAGTTTTTCTTGTGAAGAAATTTTGCAAATGTTCTCTATGAGTGGTTGATAAAAGTATTTTTAGACGACACAATGAGTTCAGTTAAATTGTCCCGTTTTTGTGAACAAATATATTTACGTCTACTATTTCCATTATTCAGACTATTGCCCTCATCTTTGTCGCCATATTTATTACAACGTTTCGGCCTTTCAGTATCTGTCTATATATCTGAGATGAGGTATTATGTACATTATTTAAATTATTCGGACTATTGTCCTCATCTTTGTCGCCATATTTATTACAACGTTTCGGCCTTTCAGTATCTGTCTATATTTCTGAGATGAGGTATTATGTACACTATTTACATTATTCGGAGTATTGTCCTCATCTTTGTCGCCATATTTATTACAACATTTAGGCCTTTCAGAATCTGTCTATATTTCTGAGATGAGGTATTATGTACACTATTTACATTATTCGGACTATTGTCCTCATCTTTGTCGCCATATTTATCACAACGTTTCGGCCTTTCAGTATCTGTCTATATTTCTGAGATGAGGTATTATGTACACTATTTACATTATTCGGAGTATTGTCCTCATCGTTGTCGCTATATTTATTACAACATTTAGGCCTTTCAGAATCTGTCTATATATCTGAGATGAGGTATTATGTACACTATTTACATTATTCGGACTATTGTTCTCATCTTTGTCGCCATATTTATCACAACGTTTCGGCCTTTTAGTATCTGTCTATATTTCTGAGATGAGGTATTATGTACACTATTTACATTATTCGGACTATTGTCCTCATCTTTGTCGCCATATTTATTACGTTTCGGCCTTTCAGTATCTGTCTGTATTTCTGAGATGAGGTATTATGTACACTATTTACATTATTCGGACTATTATCCTCATCTTTGTCGCCATATTTATCACAACGTTTCGGCCTTTCAGTATCTGTCTATATTTCTGAGATGAGGTATTATGTACACTATTTACATTACTAGTGTCCTCATCTTTGTCGTCATTAACTCTGTTTGCCGGATGTGGCATTAAAACTTTTCTTGGATTTATATTTCGTAAAATTAGTTTTGTAAAGCACAACCCAATATGAAGTAATTAAATGTAAATACTAGATGCAATGAGTCATACTCCTTGATGTTGATGGAAGGTAAATAGTGTTTTCATCTAGCCATTTCAAATATACTTTGGATTTTATCAAGAACCTTTAAATATACAGCAGGAACACCAGACCAAATGTGGCGGCAATATTCAAAGCAAAGACTTATAAATGCTTTAGGTGGATTCTGCAGAGAAAAATGCCTGGTACGACAGAGTGAACCAATTTTCCTAGCAGCAGAACAAGCAATTGATTCAATATAATCTTTCCACTTCATGTCAGTGGAAAACGCCCCCCCCGAGGGTGCAATGAGTCACTCACCTGGAGGTTAGCATCAGCGATGCTGATGGAAGGCAATGTTCTCTAAGACGATTAAAAGAGAGTACTATCGTTTTGAAGGCGTTAAAATGAACAAGTCATTCCTTGCCCCAGTTAACAACAGGAATCAAAGCGTTTTTGAGATATCTTTCAGTTTGACTATATCGAACTGCTCGGACTTACTATTAAGACAGGGATAAACGGTTTTATCATTAACCATAGATACAGAATTACAATCAGGAAGGACTTTATTGAATATTAGGGACAATGTAGATCAGAAGATTGATCCGTGGAGAACGCCTTCATTAATGTAAAAAGATGTAGAAGAGTGGCCGTTCAGGACAACCTTCATTTCGCGATTCAAGAAGAAAGACCGAATCAGTTATAAAATAATTCAGAAGTATAACCTTTCAACATGTGAAAAATGCCAGTATTGTTTTTTGGGGGAAAGATTATAAATAACCATTTTTTTTTTGTTAACTGTGGTTAAATTGATACTTGTATCAGTCAATCATCATTATCTTAAAAAAATTCTTACAATCTAAAAATATTCACTGGCTTTAAAAAGATGAAAAAACCTAAAAAAATAAATCGTTTTTTCTTCACCTTCTTTTTCAACTTCCTTTTCTTCTTCTTCTTCTTCTTCTTCTTCTTCTTCTTCTTCTTCTTCTTCTTCTTCTTCTTCTCCTCCCTCTCCTTCTTCACCCTCTCCTCCTCCTCCTCCTCCTTCTTCTTCTTCTTCTTCTTCTTCTTCTTCTTCTTCTTCTTCTTCTTCTTCTCGACGCTTATTAATGCTTCTTTCTCGTTTTTCTTTGCTTTCCGCCTCTTCCCTACCACCTTTCCCTTAATCTGTTCCTTTCTTTAAATATTTTTACCATTTTTCTCCTATTGTTGCTTTTATTCTTTTTTTTCTGCCATTCTTCCTTATTTACCGTTTCTCCCACCCTCCAGAGGCAGGCTAAAGAATAGACCAACCAAAATCCTGTCGATAAAATCAACACTATTTCATTTCAGAAATTTTCGCTTTCTACTGAAGAAGGCGGGATAGGATGTCGCTTGAAGCATCAACATTAAAATAAAATTGACGAAGGTGCGTAGAAGAAAAAATACTTGCTGATATATTTTGGGGACAAGTTTAAGCGAAGGCTGAAGCTCTTTTCGTATTAGAGAGAAAAGTGAAAGTCTATTATTGATCGGATAAACGGTTTTAATAATTCAAACTAAAGCAAACAATTGTTCAATTTAGTGTTGTTAAAATAACGAAAACATGTGTACTTCATTTATATTTAATGTACACAAGGAAACATTAATTACACAATTTTCAATGATGAAACCATCATCTTCAGAAGAACATTCTAATGAATTTGAATTTGTACAGATTTTCCTTAAAAGAATTTTATCTATTAATTTTCTATCTATCTATCTATCTATCTATCTATCTATCTATCTATCTATCTATCTATCTTTCTTTCTTTCTTTCTTTCTTGTCTTTCCGCCTGTCTATCAATCACCATTATCTATCTATCTATCTATCTATCTATCTATCTATCTATCTATCTATCTTTCTTTCTTGTCTTTCCGCCTGTCTATCAATCGCCATTATCTATCTATCTATCTATCTATCTATCTATCTATCTATCTATCTATCTATCTATCTATCTCCATGCTCTGTCTGTTTATCTGTCTACATTTTCCTCACCAGCAGCAGAAGATTGAATTATATGCAAAATGCAATAATCAGGTGCTGACTGAAAACTAACCGTTGCATAGATATTGATAATTATACCGTAGCATAATGATAATTGAACAGTCCATTTATTTAAAGTGCGACATATATATATATATATATATATATATATAGACTTTTGCCATACACACTTTCGCCACTCGGTGTTGACCTCACTATGTACTTTTATATTAATATTCACACCTTCTAACCCTGAGATTGAGCACTTTTACTCATAAAAGGAATACCTCAAAACTGTATCTGTATCATTTATATCTATATATATATATATATATATATATATATATATATATATATATTGTGTATATTTAGGCAGCAATTTTTCATTAATGCATGTTTCATTAAATAATGTAGACAAGTTTTGTCTATGTATTTTAAGTAAGTTCCTTTCATATTGTCTGATAAGCTTAATCACATTATCGTTGAAAGACGAAAGGAAAACACCATATTGATACATGTTTAAATCCAATCTAACCTTTCGGCTTACATAAGCCATTATCAAAGATGACAATTTCAATATATCAACCAACACACGGACGAAACAACAATGATAGTCCGCCCTTGCTGCATGAAAATTTCAAGTAACGACAAACTCGTATATACGAGACGCGGAAGCCAAATTCGCGTCGCAGCTCGTGACGTCACACATGACCACGCGAGAGTGGAAAACGATAAGTATTAAGTATGGGAAGCCGTTGGTATAATCCAATGACTTCTGTTATAAATTATAGGCATTTAAGAATATTTGTGGTGATTTCATAGTTTATTTTGTTCAGGTTAGGTTTCAACTGTTATATGTATATAGCTTCAAGAATTTTAAATTTTTGTTTATTGTTTTCATGTTTGAATATAGTTGTGTTTTCAACAAGGATTTTCCGGAATTGAGTACGCCGCCAAGCATGTTGTTTTAAATGTCTAAAAATGTTAGAGTTATCATTTAAATGTAGTGTCAATCGCCGTGAAATATTCTTGAAACATTTATAAAAATATATGTTTGACAAAACAATATACATGAAAGGTAAATGGACGACCCTGAAACTGCTAACAACATGACGGTCTTCAGTGTGATCAACGTGAGTAAAATCATTTTTAACTTGAAGAAATAACAAAACATTTCTTACTTGAACAATGTTTAAAAGAAAAGTCTATTTCTCATTTCTACTTATATTAATTTTGAGCATATCATTTAAATGCTATTATTTTGCAAATCTATTTTAATCATACTTATATGTCTTGGAGATGTTTGTAACAGCACACATATATTTGTTGGTTTAAACTCCCAATTAATTGACCCAACTACGAATATGCATTGTCATTCAAGTCCCACCTGGGTAACCTGGTGTTGTGATGCATCTGCATACATGAAGCAATGTCTGTGTTTTTCCAGTTCGGCTTGGTTGTTTTTTTGGAGCTCCGAAACGATACGTCGTCTCTCCTTGAGTTCAGAACGCCATAACTTACACTAACGCTGCTTAACATGTCAAATGCCCATGAAGCCTGCTTAAACTATGAAAATCAAAGAAAATAAAAATACCAGAATTTCTTTCTCTATATTCTCTGATGAAGCTTTCATAAATGTGAAACATGTTAGAATTCTAACACTTTCGCACCAGCCCCTCAACCTCCGGAGTTTTATTCTCTGGGTTGAGTTGTCTTATCGGTCCTAACCGAACTGAAGGGAGTAGCCATAGGTCCCCTGAGCATCCGTAGATGATTCGACCGGTCCGCTGGTTTAATCCTGCTTCCTGTCCATGTTGTGATTTATTTGATCCAGAAAGCAGAAGTAATGTCCGTCCATTAACGGTCGACTGAAGATGTAGACATGCCTGGGGAGTCTGCGCGAAGAAATTTAGAATGCAGCAAAAAAAAAAAAAAATAATAATATCTGCAGAAACCCGGACAAGCAACTATTCAATGGTTGAATTGTTAATGTCTTTTATATAGCAGAAAGGAATAGTAGAGAAAAGAAACGGGTTACAGAAAAGAAAAGTATTTAACGTAAAAACTCATACACTGGATGAGAGAGAGAGAGAGAGAGAGAGAGAGAGAGAGAGAGAGAGAGAGAGAGAGAGAGTGTGTGTGATTATCTTGTTGTTAAATCGTCTCAGAACGATATATGACTCTTGCGATGGAGGGATAAAGATTTCTGTGCGGGGCTTAAAGTTATAGTGACACGCCCGGGCCAATTCTCTCTTCTCTCTTCAAGAATGTTCTCTCCTCTGACTTTTTCAGCATAACTACGCATTTATATAGATAAACCTGGCTGATTATAACTGATCCTCGGCCCTACTACTTCGCACGTGATTATCACGGGGTTCTGGCTGCTTCAAACAAAATCATGTGAATTCCAAAGTTCCTTCTAGCTTACTCAGCTCTATTTCAATTTTTAATTGATAAAAATTATTTCGACCATTTCCATTGTCTTTTGATGGCTCAGATTTACCCATCAATAAAGAAAATGCTCTGATTTAATTTTGCTATTCAAATTTACTCCAATTTCACTAAAAAAAAATACGTTAGTGTGTGTGTGTGCGTGTGTGTGTGTTTCCCAGACTTTCTCTCTCTCACAGATTGATAAACGCTTTTTAGTTGCTCTTTATCCTGTCGTTCGGGCGAATTCCGATCCATATTTGATCCCAGTAGTGGGCGAACATGGCTCCCCCCCCCAAAAAAAACCTATCCTTTGGAATCCTATACAATGTCCTATTACCTACAATATCTACCTGTTCATATTCTGCAATCTATCTATACAAGCGTCCAATTCCTCGATTCCACGTTACATGTCCAAGACATTTCAACACTTTCTGATCCGAAGGAAGAGACCTCTTTTCGTGTTTTGACACTTCCTTATTGCTCACATGATCTATCCATGGTATTCTCAACAATTCCCTGGCTCCAAGTCTCCTTTTCATCAGGAAATTGTCTAACATTCACTGTTAGATAGATAGATTGATATTTTCTTATCTTTGTTTCAAACAGCATTTTCTTGTTTCTTACTATCTTCCTTTCTTTCTAGAAGGCATTTTTTTTCTATTTCAATGGCTCTTTGGATTTCTGACACTTCTCAGTCAGTAACATTTATCTACTTACATTATTTTGATATTTCCAATTTAAGCTTACGGCCATATCTTGTTGAAACATTGGTTCCCGTACGATCAACGAAATTAAGCAACGTCGAACCAGAAAATATTTTTAGACTGCAAAATTTTCTTTTTAGAGATAATAATGGTTTAGTGATACAAGTCTTACTAATTAAGCCATACCTGGGGGAGATGAGTTGGATTGATAGCTTTCGCAAGTATATTTCCACGTAAATGAATAAAAAATGAACCAAACTGGAATCGAAACTAGGCTTTTCAATTAACAATTCCTAGCTAATATCCATTACACCACCCGCAGATGCCAAGGGGTCACCCACCTAGGTATTCGACGTTGCTTCGCTGATCTTACGTAAACCGGTGTTTCAACGTGATGTGGCCGTAGTATTGCTTTTTGTATACTATTCTCCAACCAATACAATGCCCAAGAGTCACTCAAGGTAGAGGACTATTGAATGAGGCTGTTATATGGACATAAAAAGAAGAGGCAAGAAGTGCACATTAGTAGAATATGTAAGAAAGAGAAAGATTGACCTTAGACTTGAAGATGTTAATATTGCAGAGATGAGAAAGCATCCCCTGGGGAGTTGGTTTCACAAAGTAGCTGACCCCTTGGGGAGAAGCTCTCTGAATGGAACTTCCTACTTACCAATAGAATACGCAGGGAATGCGGATGATTCGACCCTGTGTCAGTGGAAGTAAGGAATATAGCTCGTCAGGATATTTTTTATGGAAATAGCGACAGAGTAGCAATAGACTTGTGATACTTCATATTTAGGAAGGAGTTGTAAAGTGGAAAATAACGAATCTCCGACAAGGCCGCCTAGACGCTTTTGGACCCTGTCATAACTGGAAAGTGAGGACGGTCACAGGGGAGAATTTTCTTCATTAATCATCGCAGCATATAAAAACGATAGTGGTGGGGCGGATGGTAGGTTGGATTTATATATTTCCCTAGAATGTAAATACACAGCGAACACGTTTATCTCTGCATACAACGCGTGGAAGCACGTGCGATACCCTGCTCTCGGTAGGGGAGGTAACACAGTTTCGGTGTCTAAGGCTGTACTGTCACCCCTGGCACCACTATCAGCTTTTGCCACCGGACAGCGTATTGTTTTTTTTTTGTTTTTTTTGTTTTGTTTTTTTTTGTGCAGACTTGTTAATCTCTACGATTTTTATGCAGATGCAAGTCAGATTTTCAACGTCGTGTTAAAAGCGTTTGCTTTTGATCGTTAAACAAATCACAACGCACATTAAAAAAAAACAAAAAACAAACAAAACAAACAATAGCAGCATTCGATCTTGGTTTGTTAATTTCATTTTCGCGCCATTACGTCATCTACAGGTAATAATTCTTATTAATATTATTTGTGCAGTGTTTCGGAATTTAATGCAGCCTGTGTTCACTGCGAATACGTTCGCCTCATTCTGCCATAATTGATACGAAAGCAGCGTTCTCTTAACTTGAAAATTGCAGCATTCTATCTTATTCCTACGTTGACGCAGACTCAGCAGGTTGTCATGGCGACCAAGCAAGAAAGTGTATCACAACTTGACTTCTTACGACTGACATTCCTACTCGCTGGAGACCCGGGCACGTGTTGTCTCCCTACCCACACCACCTTCACGCTGCCTATCGACCCAGCCGTTTACTGATAGCAAGCGAGCATGCGTACAAGCAATTATTTATTTCCAATGAGTTTCTCTCTTTTTGCCTCTTCTATTCTACAAACATGAATCCTTCGTTCTCTGTACTTGAGCGCTGACAATTCCTAGCTTGTACCGTGTCATCTTTCTCTTTGCCTTTCTCGTCTTCCCCTTTTTAGATGCTGCAGTCTTTCTTTCGAAGATTTGTTTTTTCTCAATTTGCGCAAACTCTTACGTCCCTCAACGTTTTTCTTTTACGTCGAATTTGATTATTTTCTTCCAATTCATTATTTCATTTTGTGTTTTTCTTATGGAGCATTTCCAATTCTTTCTCTCGGTTTTCATTCAATCAACGAATCAGAGACTTTCGTTTTTTTTTTCTTCTCATTTTTCTTCAGCTAGACGGAAAATATTTATAAACCTCATCCTCCTTGAAATCGATTTACCTTTTCTGTTACCTGCTATCGTTCTTTCTGGAATTCTTATTGTTATTTCGTAGTTTCGACATTCATACGAGATTTATCTCTCTCAATACGTTGATATCCATATTCTTGGTCTCTCTCTCTCTCTCTTCTTTCTTTCTTTCTTTCTTTTTCTATGTTCGTAACTATTTATCAATGTTCTTTCTTAATCTGTCTTTCTTTCTTTCTTTTTTGTTTGTTTGTTTCTTTCTTTGTTTATATCTTTTTATCAATGTTTTTTTCCCCAACTGTTCATGTTTGTGCTTTCTTTATCAATGTTCTTTCTTTCTTTCGTATCTATTTATGAACGTTCTTTCTCTATTTCTTTTTTAACCTGTCAATATCTCTTTCTTTCTTTTTTCTTTCTTTCTTTCTTTGTTCGTTCGTATCTATTTATCAATGTCCTTTCTTTCTGTGTGTATTTATTGATATGTATGCTTTTCTTTCTTTTTCCATACGTATTTGTCAATGCTCTTTATTTCTCGATCTATTTATTTGTTAGTTTGTTTCTTTCTCTCCATCTCTATCTACATCCCTATCTAATTATCAATGTTTTTTCTCTCTTTCATTCTCAATCTGTGTCTTTCTTTCTTCCTTTCTAAATTGTACACATCACATTCCATTTCCTTTACTCCATTTTAATAAATTTTACTCATTTATTTTTCTTCCTTCACTGGATTAATTCTAAAAAAAAATCTCCTACTCTATAAGCTCTTTTTAAAAGAGAAAATAATTTCCTTTTCCTAAAAATCTATTACATAACTGTTTGAATTCTTTTTTTATAGCCGTCTTTTTTTAAACATTGTCGCTGCTGATTCGACTTGAATAAATCCCACTATCTTTTCTTATTCTCAGTTAATAAGGTTGTCTACAAAAAAACAGTGATATCGTTTGATTAGGATTATTTATTTAATCCAAGGATTAAAAAAATGCTCTTTCTTTTCTTTTACTATTCAACCGCCAACTATTTTTTCATATCTATGGTCATTTACCCATTCTATAATTTCCAAACTTTGAATTCTCTTAACCGCCACATTCTATGCACTGAGTTGGGCAACTAATTCAGAATGTGGTAGAAACATTTTAAAAGTACGTGTGTTCAGAGTCTAAAAATAGTTCCGTTCCCCCGATACCAATCCCTTATGAGAGACGCCTCAGATGCCAGGGATTAACGATAACATTCTCCTGAAGGAGAGGCATGGCCTGGGGAGATGGATTCCTTTAGTTTTGTTGCTAGAAAGAGAAAGACTACGAAAATTGTGAATCGTTTTTAATATAAAACACACGTTCTTCAACTTTTTATTTTATTTTTCGTCAATCTTCCCTCTTAAACCCCCCCCCCAATAAAAAAATAAACGCCAATAAATAAAAAAATAAATTCTATTCTGAATGTTTTCTATTCTCAGTAAGAATCCAAATGTAACAGAATGATTTAAAAATCTTCGTTAAGTATCGGGAACAGCGCCATGCACACACGCACAAAGAATGGCTATTAAGGGTTGTTAAGGTCACAGGTCAAGGACACTAAAATCAAGCAGGCGCGGAAGTTTAAACATCTGGGAAGTGTTTTGACGGAGGACGGCAAGTGCGACGCTGAGATCTGAAGAAGTATTGGAATAGCCAAAGACGCACTCCAAAAGCGAGGCACAGTATTACGAGACAGGGGAATTTCTTTGGTAACAGCGTACTGAGCTGCTACGTGTCCTTTACGGCTGTGAATGTTGGACGTTCTCCTCAAAGATAAAGAAGAGACTTGAAGCAACGGAGGTATGGTTCTACAGAAGGATGCTAAGGATATCATAGACCGAGCTTGTGACCAACGATCAGGTTTAGGAGAGGATGCGAACAAGATGGAAGCCTATACTTAACATCTTTGGTAACAAAGAAAAGAGTAATGAACTGCTACGTGACATCTGTTCTCCTTTACGGCAGTGAATGTTGGACGGTCTCAAACATGAAGAAGAGACTCGAGCCAACAGAGGAATAATTCTACAGAAGGATGATAAGGATATCCTGGACCGAGTGTGTGCACAACGATGAGGTTTTGGAGAGGATGCAAACAAGGAGGAAGCTTATATTTAACATCAGAAAGAGACAGCTGAAATTTCAGGGATACGAAATGAGAAAGAAGAGCTTGGCGAATCTGATACTCACAGGTCTAATAGAAGGAAAGAGAGCCAAGGGAAAGCAATGCATGACATATCTGGCGTGTTTATGCAAGTGGATGGCAGAAAGTTGTCTGGGGGGGGGTCAGTGGGACAAAAATTATTGAGAGCTAACTAAGGATAGAGTCACGATCGCGACACGGCACATATCGTATTGAAACATCTGTTCTCATATGATCACCGAAGTTAAGAAACGTCGAGCCTTGTCAGTACCAAGATGGGTGAACGAATACCCGATGCAGTAAGCCTGGATTTCTGAGTGGTGGAATATTTTTTTGCGTTCATTTACGCACTTATGACCTTAAGAAAGGTATGAACTCATCTCTTCACCGCTCCCCCAGCTATGGATTAAATACCATGGCTTTCTACCCTTCGGTGGAAACCACTTTAAGAAAAGGAAAATGTTGAATTCCAAACCATGAAGAAGTCAACAGGAACAACTATCTTTCCCAAGAATGATTGACAATTCACTGATAATAAAGAAAAGGAAGTAGTGGAGAGCAATGATCATCTATGCCCCGAAAAGAAATGTCATTAAAGATAAAGTTTACAATTTTAGAAAAAAGAAAGATGTAAGCGATTTTATATCAAACGAGATGGTATCGCTACCATCGAAAAATGTTTTCAACGAAACGATGTATTAGGTTGGTCCAAAAATAATGACGTAATAATGTCGTTTTTTGACGTTAAAAAATACGTCAAAAAACGACGTTATTACGTCATTATTTTTGCACCAATCTAATAGAACGAAAGCAAATGGTTGTGATTTGTGAAATTACATAACAAAATAAAAACGAAGAAAGTAAAGTTTGGCTGTGGAAAAGGTATGCCCTTCTTAACCGGAGAATCCGAATTATTAGCTGGAACAGAACGCTTTCTGTGAGAGAATGTGACTCTATGTTCCTTCTTTTTTTGTGTCGTGTCTTTTCAGAACGTTAACGATTTCCACCATTTCCAGTCTTTTGTAGCTCTCAATAAATTTTGTATTTTTGTTATATCTCCTAAATCCTGTTCTGACATCCATTTACTCAAGCCCTCTAAGTAGATTATGTGTTATTTTCTTCTGTCCCTCTTACCTTGTCCTGTGAGCATACAATTTTTCAAACCCTCATTTCTATTAATGTCCTATAAAATCCAGCTATCTCTTTCTGATGTAAAGTGTAAGTGTTCTTTTTTGTTTCCATTCTCTCCCAAACTTCGTCATTGCTTACCTGTTCTGCCCATGTTATTCTCAGCATCCTTCTGTAGAATCACATTTTTGTTGCTTCAAGTCTCTTCTTCATCCGTAAGGAGATCGTCCGGCATTCATTGTCATATAGGAGGACTGGTATTACGTAAAAGTTCAGCACTCTTCTTTGCTTCTAACGAAATTTTCTGTTTCTTACTACTTTGCTTAGCTTTTGGAAGGCACCTTTCTCTGTCCCAATGCGTCTTTGGATTTCGGTGTTGCATTTTCCTTTCTATGTCACTACCCAAATATTGATATTACACTTGTTTGATTTTGATACTTCCATGGAAACATTCGGCATTTTATTGACCGAGTGACAAGTACTAATGTTGGTTGAAATTTATAAATTATTTCTGTTAACATAATTTTCCAGAAAAATAGGTTTCTCAAGTCCGGTAATTGTTATCGCTCTTTCTACTATTAATGGCGGTTTCCTTCCTAACCTTTTGTTTGAAGTAGTGTGGAACATCAAATTCTTGATACCCATTTCTCTTCCATTTTAGGTTTTGTTGCATTTTTTTTTTGGGTGGGGGGCATAGGCGAAGAGACAATTTAGTAGGCAGTGCTCATATCAGTGTTTGAAGAATTTCAAAAAGAATGGCAGCACGTAGAAAACGAATTCTTTGAGGAGAGTCTTGTACAAAAAAAAAAAAAAAAAAAGTGTTTTACCGTGATGAAAGGCTTCAAAATATAGTTAATGATGGTGAAAACGGATCAAATCTTAGGGACTATCTTAGGACTCTTGCTTATAATCCTTCATTACAAATTATTCATATATTCTAGTTTTATATTTTTTTAATGAATTTTGAATGTTTCAAATGTATAAAGACTATTATAAGTCTATTTTGTAAATGTTTAGAAATAAAGGTATTTCCATATGTTTTGTTTTCAATTTCTCCGTAAGACTATATTTTGGAATTCTGATCTTTCAGGATTCTAAATTCTGGGATTCTGATCCTTTGGGGTTTTCATACATTCGGAATTTCAAATTTTCAAATTTCTGGATTTTAAATTTCAAGATTTTAAAATTTTAAATTTTTAAATCTCAGCATTTTTAAATTTCTGGATTTTAAGATTCAGGATTATAACCCAAACAATATATATATATATATATATATATGAAAGTGAACATTGAATTCAACACTCAAAAACGACAGATTATTTCATGCTTGTACCTAGCATGAAACAGCCTGTCGCCTCTGAGTGTTGACTTCAATGTTCACTTTTATATTTATATACGCTCTATCTCTGATATTGTGCACTTTATCCCATAAATATAGCACATCTTAAAAGTATATTTCTCATATATATATATACATAATTCTTATACGTTATTTACATAGACACATATTTAAGTATTAACAACATTTACCGGCCTGAATATATATATATATATATATATATATATGTGTGTGTGTTTGTGTGTGTTTGTGTGCGAGTGTGTATTCTGGCTTTAAATAACATTCGAGGCGCTGATAAACTGTGTAAAATGAATGAATGAATCAATAAATTTTATTATAACTGCATATTTCTCCCTTAAAGAAACGGAGAAAAAAATGTCGAACTTCGAAATAAATTTCTTGATGTTCTTAATCTAGGTTGATCAGTTAGTTCTATTTTCGATTTCAAATGTCAATCGATTCCCCAGCAATTCAACTTAGTTCGACTAAAACGATCGACGAACAACAGAAGAAAATGCATAAAAAAAAAAAAAAATTGAAATTAAACAAATCATGTGATTAAAATTAAATAT